ATTACGACTAAGAATCAGTTTTAGAATTAATTCTAGGATATCTCAAAAATTAGTATGCATCTTAGGCTTGACAAGGTTATAGCCTCGAATATTTTGTCACTTCGTTTCTTAATATTTGTGTTTACTCCCAAAAGGCAAGCAGTATAGCATAAATATTAATATATATAGAAGGTTTGCAAAGACTCCACGAGCTTAGCTTCAAACCTTTGATTCTTGCCAATCTCGCATCGTCTCAAAAGCAAATAGAATGGTATAATTTTTTTGATATCTTTGGTGGGTTTAAAATTGCGCTTAGTTTCTTGATCGAAGGAGTGTGATATCTTGAGAATTTGACTTTTGAGCTTTTCTACTGTATCTTCTAACAGAATAATTCGATTATCTTGAGCGATTAATCCCTCCTCCTTTAGATCCAAATGATCCTAACATTTTTTGAGATTGTGTAAGGTGGAGTAGTATTCTGCTTTTAATCTATCTATATCATCTTCTCATGAGATAAGATTTTTTTCAAGATATTTAATATATAACTCACATCGCTCTATATTGTTTGTAAGCTTACGAATCTTTTCTTTATTTCTAATGGTAGTAGTTTCTTCTTTAATCAACTTTATTCGCAATTCTAAATTGCTATTTAGTAAATCGTGATATGCTCGCTCAACTTCCATTGATTCCTATTATCACAATAGATTCTGGTAAAGCTAGAAAATTAGATATTTTTATTGATTTGCAAAAGATTTATTACCAGCCTTCGGGTTATCAGAGGACAGCAAAAAAATTGCATGAAGCCTCTAAAAAGGTTGGGTATGATTTTAGTCTAGACGAAGTGAGAGATTGGCTCAAAAGACAAATATTGCACTTATTACATAAGTCCCGTCCTAAATATATCCCACGAGTAAATTTTAGCTCTATTACTACATCCAATGAGATGCATCAGGCAGATGTTCTCTATACACGTTATGTTAAATCTAAATGAATGATTTATCTTTTTTACCTTAATATAAAGGATGTGGCTTCAAGATATAAAGCAATTATTCCTATCAGTGTGACCCTTAAGGGGCCTACTAAGAGCATTAAGAATATGCAAGGCATTTTAACTTCGTTTACAATTGCTAAATGCTTGGAAAAAATTTATGATGATCCTGAAAACCCTCTTATCTGACCAAAAGTATTTTTATCAGATAAGGGGTCTGAATTTAAGGTAAATGTAAAAAACTGCTAAGAAAGCATAGCGTAAGAATTCAGAAGGCTATGTCTAAGAAAACTATGAATATTATTGAGAGATCTAATAGAACGTTTCAAGAACGATTCTATAGTATTCTTGATACATATAACTTATTGGATACCTTTTCTGATATAATAGAGTTAGAAGACCTACCAGGCGTTGTTGATTCAATAGTAGAAGATCTTAATAACTCTGTAACTC